CTGCGCCTCATCCGAAGCATTCAGATGCTTCTGAACTGGGCTCAGGTTCAAACCAGCCTCTCTTAGCCTCGTAGTCACGATCCGATTACTGATGTCGTAGCCTGTAACTGGTCTCCTTTTTCAGATTCAAATCTGAGCTAAACTTAACTTAGGGTGCCCTGGCCACCTTAGCATAATAGGGGAGAAAACCAATGCTCACAAGGTGTTCCAGCCCCACAAACACAAAAGAGAAACCAAAGCGACCCAAATCCAGGTTATGCAAACGCAAAAGGAGGGGTGAGGGGAGAGATATGAAAAGCCCAAATCGAGCAAACAAAACCAGCCTGCAGAAACGGCATTGACATTTCACTCTATTTGTCGTTCTCAGGGCATGATGCAACCTCGGGTTGCCCAATTCATGTTCGCAAATTTTTTCCCTTGGTTCACAGCGAGCTTCAAAAGCTTCCAACTCCGTAAAATTCCTTCTAAAAAAAGTTCCAGTCTCCAGCCCAAAAAAGGTGGCATGGCAGGCCAGGTGACCTCGCCTTCACTTAGGCCCGACCAAGTGTTCTAGAGGTGTGGGGTGGTGTAGGTAAACCAGGAAGAACGAAGGCACAAAGGCAGGCAGCAGTGAACTTGACAGCCACGTTTGTACCTTCGCCTCACCCTTCTCACGCCCACTTGATTAGAAACTGCCAGGGAACAGCACCTACTTCACCTTCCTCCTGCCCTGCCTCCTGAACCTGCTCCTCTCCTCAACCCAAAGGGCACAGAGAATGGCACCGGGGAACATGGCTCAGGTCTTCAGCCCTCCTCCTCTTCCCCCTGGTACCGCCAGGCCCCGCTTGCCACATCGTGGCAGCCTCCTGGTCACCAGTCATCGGCCGCACCTTTGCACCACCCAACAAAATGGCAGGTTAGCAACAGGCAAGGCTGAGCGCGCCTGCTCAGGCTCTAGCCAAGCGCGGCCCCCCGGCCAAGCCGCCGGGGGGGGTGTCTCTGACGGTGCCCCCAAACCCAAACATCCTTCCCTTCTTAAAGTCCCCCATCCTCGGTCCCACCGGGCCACCTGCTCGCCCTCTCGGGGCCATTTCTATGGCCAGCGGGGGAACAGGTGCCAGCATTAACAGGTGCCAGGCCAGAGGGCCCCGGCGGCATCGCCAGGGTCAGGCTGCGCTGGGCATCGAGGAGACCTGGCGGGGGGGCGCAGGAAAAGGCCCCATGACCGGGAAGGGAAGGGGGTGCGCGCAGAGGCGGACAGCGCGGGGGGCCAGGATGCCCGTGCCAGTCCTCGCTCCCCGGGCGCGACCCGAGGCTGCCCCACTTACAATCTCCAGGCAGACGAAAGCGCCCGAGTAGGTTCGCAGGATGTCGGGGCCGGCCGGGAGGGTGACCCGGGGTGCGGGGAAGGACACGGCGGGGTTCGGAGGCGGCAGGACCGGCGGTCCGCCGGCCGACATGCTGCCNCACTTGACACTTATTTGCTCTTTTTCTTTCTTTTTTTTTCTGCCACCTTCTCACTAATCATGTAAAACAACAACAAGAATCCTCCCTGCCCATCCCCCCCCCCCCCCAATGAAAACTAACCATTCCCAGGACCTTCATGCCATGGTCTTTCTTGTCTCTGGGGTCTGCATGTGCCCTTGTTTCTACCTGGAATTCTCTTTCCCCCCTTTCCTGTCTACTGAACATCTGCACATCACTCAAGGCGAAACTCAAATGTCAGCATCCTATTAAAGCTGCCTGTGTTGGCCTCCCTGTTGGCCAGATGTACTCAATTCTGTTTCTCAACAGTACTTTTCACAAACCAATTCTGTCACTTCAAACACAGCACTGTAATTCTTTCTTGATTTTATACTTCACTGTACAGGAATCTCATTTAAGGGCAGGAGCTATGCTAATTATCCCATTCCCAGGGCATAAAACAAGGCCTGGTATATATTCAGTTCTTAATTATTTGTTGAATAAATGAAAATTATTGTGGCCCCCCAAACACTGCAGTTAGAAGCATGTGAATGAAAGAGAAATGCTCGCAAATATCTAGGGAATGTAGATGGCTTCCTAAACACTGAAGCTGTGAAATGCACTGAGTTCAATAATGACCTTTATTCTTGTTTGTGTTGAATACTGTTACGTTTTATCTTTCTTGTGTATTATACAAGATAAGCTCATTGAGGACAGGGACCCAAAATATCTCGTTTAGCCCAATAGGACAGATGCTCCAGTGTCATTTTCTTATAAAGAGACCTGCCTGGAAAACGTTTTAGCTGTAGTTCACTTTCCATATGTACGTCTTTCTTCCCTGAATGGTAGTTATTTTGGGGCATATCCTCTCAGCCAGGTTATAAGTTCTTTGAGGTGAGGAAGGGTCTAAACATCTTTGTTCCCAGAAGAGTGCCTTGCACACAGTAGGTACTCAATAAATAGCTGATGAGTGACTTAGAAAACATTAAGTCGGGAAACACTGAGAGATTTTAAAAATCACAACTTTTGAAGGTGATGTTTTCCATCTTAAACTAAAAGACTTCATTTTGCAAAACTAACTTAGTTTTAAACTCTTTATGGCAAGCATGCATTGGCAAATACAGCTGCGTGCAAAAATGAGGGGCTGCCAACTTGGGTATCTAAGGGTGGAGCACACCTATTTCCCAAAACCACCCCATGCATGTGAGGTTGCCATATTTTCCACCTATGAAGCCGATGCTGTAAATTGCTTTACTGGGGGCTGTGAAGTGGGCACTATTTGTAGCTTATGAATTATCTCCCCCAACAAATGGCTTACACCTGAGAGATTGTGACTAGGGTATTCATAATAAGGAGGACTGAGATTGAATTCTTTGAGCAAAGTTACTGGTTAGTGTGAAAATTGAACTCCAAGATCATGGTTTCATTAGCTTAGTCAGCTACGGATAGCCCACTCCATCTTTGTCAGATGCCGTTTTCACCTGTTAAGTTTTAGACAGCAACAGGACGTAAATAGAGAAATTACAAAGACAAATGAATCTGAAAAAAAGGTTAAAGTTAAGAAGTTTGGGGATATCCAGAAACACTGGAAGAGGCGAAAATAATCGGTCCCCAGGAAGGAGAGCACCTAGAGTTTAGAACTGCTCCTGGCGAATTCTCACATTTAATTTACAGGGTGAGGAATTTCTGAAGAGGAGCCATGGAGACTGAATGCTTTAAAGGAATCAGAAAACTAGAGGGAAATTAAGACAGCAGGGACCAAAGGTGCCTCAGAGGTGTTTATTGAGCTCACATCGGTGCATCTGCCCAGTGTGGGCATTCTGGATAGAGGGGTCCCAAGGCGGCCTCCATCTCTGCTCCCCAAAAGCATATAACCCAGTATCTCCTAGGGCTACAGAAGGATGAGCACCAAGGAGGAGCCATCGTTTGGCTCCAGTGCTCTCTAAGTGGTTTCTCTAAGGTCACTACTTTGGAGCATTATGGTCCTTTTAGTTTTTTGGGGGTAAGGTGGGGACGAGAGAGACTATTCAAGTAAAAGGGTAATGGAGGCCTAAGAATTAAACCTATCAAGATGTTTGGTCATAGTGAAAAGTAAACTGAAATGGCTTTTGGAAGGGATGCTGTTTTATCTAGATAAGGGTTCTCCATGTGTTTCGGGGGTGAGAAGCCAGAGGAAATGAAGAGATAAGAGGAGTGGGCTGGATACTTCTGTAGGTCTGGGGTCCCTCCTAGGATGGGAGTGGCAGGAATTCTAGCAGAGAGAATTCACATCCGCAAGAGAGGAGCTGTCTGTCGTGTCCACAGAGCCCGGATAAAGGCCTCCCTCAGTGGTTCCCTGCCAAGACTATACATCAGAGCCTCTGAGGAGCTCTGACAAAAACCTAGCCAACCCTGGGCGCTCCCCCAGAGATTCTGATTTAATTAGTCTGGGCTGGCAGCAGTATTTTAAAAAGCCGCCCAAGTAATTAAGTACAGCAAGAGTTCAGAACTAACCACTGGGCTACATAAGAGTTCAGAACTAACACTGTGGGAGTAGGGGAGAGGCAATACAAGAACTCTCCACTTTCTTCCCTCAGAATTAGGCAGTATTTCTGAAAGTGTCACATAATCACGTGATTCTTGAGATGGTATTTGATTTGATGGCACATGGATTAGCCATATATATATACATATATATATATATATATATGTATATATATATAGTGCCAAAAAATTGTATACA